TTAACAATATGAATTTTCTAGTTCAAGAATATGATATTTTTCCTTTTTATTCGACTTTTAAATTTTCTCTTAACAATCTTTTGTAGTTTTCAATGTACGCATCTTGTACATATGTTGTTATATATTTCCCGAAGTATTTCAGACAGCCTCTTAGGAGTTAATTATTGAGTAAAGTAATCTCTTTCATTATTTGTCAGTTTTATTAGTTTAATTACCAGAATAACAATTTCTTCAAATTGGTGGTAGTAGAGGAAGGGTTGTAATGGAGGAGGGGTACTTCTCAATTGGAATGATATATATCTAATTGGAGATATAGATATATATCCAATTGGAGATATAGATACACACACACACACATATACACATATATATATAACCAATTAGAAGATAATTTCCTGACATACTAGAAAAAAATCTGTCTAGATGTAGCCTTACTGAACCCCAGTTTGCAAACATGTCAATACATACGCATACAGAGAAGACTATAAATGAACAAGTCTCCCTGGTGTCAACTATGAAGCTACTTACCAAGATAATTAGGTCCAGCTCTTTTATGGATTACCCACTCTACAAATCTACATATAGTTACCACTTAAAAATTATCAGATTTATCACATTAATGGGCACTACGAAAATGTTTTTCTAGGGCTGGATTTTGTTTAGCATAATTCTCATGCTTTAGTTTGAATCAGCAATTGCATTTGTGCAATTACAGAGTGCTTGTAGGAGGCCTAAAAACCAAGAGTAGAGAAAAAATGTTTTATCAGCAAAATTTTTCCTAGATGTACAAAATTCTCTTGAAAACACTTTTGGGAAATCTAACTACCTAACTGATGTTTTTCTTTCCACACAGAAATATTGATGATAAAGAGGAAACTAACGTTCTGAACCATTAAATGTGATATCGTTTATCTCACCAAATCCCATGATGGATATTTTACAGATGGTTCTTAATTTTAAAAGTAGATTACCCAAGATTCCTAGAATGATTATATTATAAATATAATAATAACATTAACTTATATTATGTTTCTTCCATTTGTGGTCTCAGTCTTTTCTCATATGAATCAAATTATATAAAGATTCAGTGTTATTTAATCAGGAAAAAACTCTAAACAAAAGTCAAAGAGCAATCTAAAATATTAAATAGAGATATGGCTCTGAGTCTTTTCTTTCCTTCCTTTCTTTTTTCCCTCCTTACTCTTCTCTTTTTGATTTTGGGCTTTAAAAGAACACTCAAACCACAAATATTCAAGAAATATTAATAACAGTCATATATTATCCAGTCTGTGTCAGGAATAAACATTCCAATTTTATAATCTTCAGGCCTCTGCCAGGTATTATTATTTCCACTTGACAAAGAAACTGAAGATCATAGAGTGTCACTTGCCTTTCCCAAAGTCACATGGCCAAATCTCAAAGAGAAAATTCACATTACAGGGCCAAATCTCTCTTCGTCATACAGATGCCTCCCACATTGCCCATGACTTTCCAGAAGCTTGGAATCTAAATGATGTGGCTGCTGTTAGTAACAACTTCAAGACTGAAGGCTATTGGGCTATTGGCTCCACCATGGGCACCACTAGGTTTAAACTCAAACAGCCAGATGAGACCACTTGAACCTTGGCAGTTACCAGTTCAGAAGAGCAGCCTAACCCAGCCACTCCACGGTTGCAATTTGAGAGCATCTAGAGAACACCACATACATCTTTTCACCTGGTCTCTTATGCCACAGATGAAACCTCCTCAATGCCCCCAAGAAGCCATCTTGGGCAGGAAAAAGAGAGGTGGGTGTAAAATTTGGATGACTAGTAATTTACCAAAAAAAATAGAGTCATTCCAAAGAGGCTGTTATATTGGCCCTGATTTGAATTTCTAATAGTCTGGATGTTTAAACTTAAAAGGAGAAATATAAACATGAAGTGATAGTAGTTCCCACTGGCAAAGGGAAGATGTCCCTAACCGTCTGCAGGGTGAGGCTCTGAGGATCAGATAAACTGCTAAGAACAGACGCTGCATTTCTTGACTTATCTGAGTTTGGTGTGAATGATCTTGTGACCTCATTACAGTTTTTATAATTTGAATTCATCACCATAAGCTAAAAGAGGATAAACAAAATGAGGAAACACACCTTTCACAAAGTCTTTTAGGTGCAAGTGTTTTCCAGCCTGCAAAACACTCAAGCTCAGGAAGGTTAACGGAATTTGAGTGATCATTTACTTGCATCGACTAGAACATCCGTAGGGTTTCTATTTAAGAAAACCTTCAAATAAGTGAGCTTTTAGTTTCAATTTGGTTGTCAACATGCAGAAAAAAGGAAAGCTGAAATCAAAGTTACAATACAATCTGAAAATTAAACATTAAGGGAAGAGCCATACCTTGAAGAGTAGCCTTTGGTGTCAATCAGAATTTCTGTCTACAAAAAACGGAGGGAGGAAGAATCAGCTTTGCTGTGAGCTGCCAAGGGAATTGTCTTTACTCTGCCAGATGCTCCAGATGGTTTTCTTACAGAGAGACTTCGTTTCGTGCTCACACTTGTTTATTTCCATACATCTAACTCTCAGTCAGGCAGTGAAACAGGTACTTCATTGATCCACTAAATATGATTGTAAAATTACTTCATTATTTAAAATTGCAAGCCAAGCAGGAAAAGTGGGACCATGTACTTCCCTTCCTTTCTTTTAACCTCGAATTTGAACCTGCTTTTAAATCAGTTTAAAACTAATTAATGATCCTTGTTGCTAAGTGACTCGAGAAACCGGGAAGGAACTATGATCTGACTTTGTAAAACAAAACATTAAATACTTATGAAACCTTTCCATATAAATCTCTGTACTACCACACAAATAATTCACTTTGGAGGCTATTTGTCTTGAAGAAATCTTATCTCAAAAAGGGGTCATAAGTAGCTGCCTGTAGACTTATATATCTGCTCGTATATTTATAAGCAGCTGTATATTTATTTCAAGATATTACTTGTTTTAAGACATTACTGCTGAACATTTTTTTTTAATTCAGTGACTGTTTATTGAGTGTTTATTATGGACCCTGTTAGGCACCTAAGATACAAAGAAACACCATGGCATTTTGTGAAGGCTGCATGCTTTCTGGTGGCAGAGGGAAGAATTTGGAGTTTCTTGCAATAGATAAACATCTGTGAAGGCACTGGAGGTGATGATGAAGTGAGGATTGGAGACAAATTCAAGGAATAGCATTGACAGAATTTGTATCAAATTACATGTATTGATGAATGAAAAGCCAGGAATAGCTCCCTGGCTCTCAGTTTGGGGAACAGGCTATGTCATTCAATGAGATTAGAAATGTCAGGGTTACAGCAGTACAGCAGGCTCCACATTATCCCAGAGATGAGATCTGGAAGAGCTACTATGTACAGTAAGGCATGCTGTCAGAGATGATTATATCCAAAGACCAGTTTTCAGAGACCCAGTAAGGTTTGTTTCCCAAATGGAAGCATTTGGACCTACTTCAGAACCTACCAAACATAAGCACTGGCCAGGTAGCAAACACGTTAAGTGGTGAGTAAGCCTCTTTCATGAAGAGGACTCTGGTCTTAGGTTAGTACCACAGCACAAGTCAGCCCACTGTCTGGGCTGATGGTCTTGAATGCATTCTATTAAGAGGTGTTCACTGAGTTAAAAAGAACCACACATAGCAAAGCCACTGAAAAGAGTCACATAGCTTGGGTTCCCTCAAACTCTTGCATCTACAGCTTTTAGAGGAGCAGAGTTATGACACCTGTCCATCCCTCACCTTCATTATCTGCAAAATTAGGATCCACACTCACTGCCAACTATACAAGTCTATAATTTCCCTTCTCATTTCTGGACATCGAAACAGATAAAATGAGGAGAAATTAGTTGAATGCCATATATATATATATATATATATATTTTTAGACGGAGTCTCTCTCTGTCACCCAGGCTGGAGTACAATGGCACGATCTTGGCTCACTGCGACCTCTGCCTCCCAGGCTCAAGCGATTTTCCTGCCTCCGCCTCCCGAGTGGCTGGGATTACAGGCGCACGCCACCATGCCCAGCTAACTTTTGTATTTTTAGTAGAGACGAAGTTTCCCCATGTTGACCAGGCTTGTCTCAAACTCCTGACCTCAGGTGATCCACCCACCTCAGCCTACCAAAGTGCTGGGATTACAGGCGTGAGCCACCATGCCCGGCCTAGATTTTTGTTTTTCAAAGAAAATAAAAATGTTCAATTTCTATTGAAAACAATGAGAATTTTATTTCTTCTGTATAGTACAGGGGTGGTGCTTTGAGGGGATAAACAGCTGAACAAGACAATGACCCAAGACTTCCAGTGGCCTCATTTTAATGTCACAGTACGAAAATATCTATAATTTTGAATTTTGAAAGACGAATGTTTCTTTAGCACAAAATTCTTCATTCTTCTAACTCCAGTTGTAAGAAAATAATGGCAATTAGGCCACCATGTTCATAGAATTAATTACATATACATTTTTAAATAGTGTTAACTTTAAGTGGCCTCCCACTAAGATATGAATTACATATCTAGTTGGAGGATTGGAAATTAAAGTTTCCAGCTTTCAATAAGAATCAAACTGATAGTGTACTAAAAATAAACTGAGGTCATCTGATTGAAAGGCTTCACGTCTGTCTCACACTCCAGCTCTTTCCTTGGATGAGAAGAAACCATTTCAAAAAATTATTAAGGGAGCAACAAAGGGCTGTTGTACATTCATTACATTCACAGTGAGGGAAATTTTCTGTCCTGTCAATATCAGTGTGTCTAATATAAAATCATTAATTCCATACCTGCTAGCTTTTTTAGTAAAACTATATTAAAATTAAAAGTAAAACTTACAGTATTTGTTTCGACCTATAAACCTGGTTAACATCCATTTGATTAGACTGATTTTCATTAAAACAAATGCTACACAAGACCTGTCATAACTAAGCATCTTGTTGTTGTTTGTTTGTTTGTTTTGTTTTTCTAGAGCCCCAGCAGCTACTATTAACGAGTGTCTGGAATATGTTCCTGGCATTTCACCTACACTCTCTCCAGTCCTTCCAAGAAACTCACAAAGCAGGTATTCTTACCAACAAGAGACCAGACACCCTGAGAATTTACACTCCTTCCCCAAGACCACACAGTCAATTATAATTGATGATGTTGCCACTTGTACCAAAGTCCATCTGGCTTCAAAGCCTGCTCTCTCCCTGTTCAACAAAATGTCTCTCTGCCCTTACTTTTTTTCCCTTCAGGGCTTTTTCTTGAACTTCTCTTCCTCACAACAGTTAAATCATTCATTTAAAGATGTCAGACAACCTCAGTGTTCTAAGGTGAGTTGTCAGATCTCATTTGGTTCACCTTCTCTACCGCTTATCCTTTGTTTATTCATTCTTCTTGTAACCTCTTTCTTTTCCAAAGCTGAGAGCAGACAAAACTAGATATTTCAATAATAACAAAAATATATACCATTTGAGGAGAAAATATTTGTATATTCTTTGGTAGTGAATACGCAATAGTTGTAAAAACAGAAGAATGTTAATTACTGTAGCAAAATTAATAAACCCAGTTTTCCTGAATAGTTGAATCCATGCTCACTCTCAAATCTGTCTCTTTAGTGTCCTATTTTAAAATGCTCTTCCAATTAATCCTACATATTCATGGAGATAATTCCAAGGGCAGGGTAATCTTTACTTGTTCCCCATATTAGTCTGACAACTCATTCAGTCAAGTTGCCAAAGCCTAAAATCACCCACAACAAGCCAAACTGCCTGTCATCATTTTTATCCAGGCTGGGATTTCCTCTCATGCCGGAAATACCAGCTAGTCTGTTTTGCATCCACTTTAGGATTAAAATAAGGAAAATGTTATGAATCTTTTCCCAGAATCTCTCCCGTATTAAAATTTACATTCTTGCAGAAGTGCAGGCTCAGTCCTGCATTTATTACTATCCTGAGAATCTTCGTTTTCTTTCACTTTTTCAATACCTTCAGACATTCAATCTGTGGGGAAAAGAAAATCGTATTTTCTGTTACCAGAATGTATTCATTCTTCCCTTATGAAAATGACTGCATGTGTGCACTTCTCTCTCTACTAAACCATTCATACAAAAGGCTGAAGTTAAAATCATGCTCATTCACCACTGAGGCTATTATTTGCTATCAGTTTCTCAGTTATGCACAATCTAACTTCACTCTCTTACTACAACTTATTCTTAGTTCTTTCATCCTCTCTCCCTGCTTATATAGAATGCAGCCAAGCTCAAATGTTATGCTTTTCCTCATTTTTGTCTACATTGTCCTGTGAGTCTTAGAGTAACCTCTTCACTTTCATCTTGCAATTTCAATTTTTCTTAATCAAAACTTGACTACTTAAATATTAGCCCACCTAAGTGAAAAACATCTTTCACCTTCATTAGCTATTCATATTCCTTCATCTGTAAGAAAAATATTTTTAAAACTGCATTACACAAAGAGATAACAATCAATATCCAAGTATTTATATATGTGATCTGTTCTGTAGAATCTGACAGTAAAAATAACTTCATATATACATATGATTCACCCTTCACAATATTTATTTTTTAGAATAAAAGAAAAGAATGTTAGTCTTATATGTTAATCATAAAAAATACATGTTTGATGACAGGAAAACAGCAAGTCACTTTTTCTAGTTCTTTAAAAATATTTTAATCGTGCAAAATCACCATAATGTACTCTAGCACAATGCTAAAATGTTACCTAAGATGTAGTGGCTTTTATTACTTTTACAGGATGTATATTTGGCAATAGTTATTAAAAATAATTACTCAAAAGGAACTCTAACTCTATTATTTTAGAAACAATATTTTAAAATACAGCAGTAAGCAACAGAAACTATTGCTCTTTATACATTTTTGGCATAACACTGCCATACGGTTACAGAATTATAAAATAAGTATTTTATAGTACCATACAGATCCAGAAACTGGTTACAACTTCTACCACATACACATGGTATTGGTACTAACAAACATGCACAGCATTCTGTAATTCATACTGCAGTTGAATACAGAGCACAGAGAAGGCCCAGTGGCCACTGGAGAATCAGAGCTTATAAGTAAAACACACGTCTATGTAACAATCGTAGCCATTTTCCTGAAATATTTAAAACACAAGGGACATAATAGTTTCCAAAATGACATAATCTGCCGTCCTTCTTCTTAGATAATACTAAAAAAGAAAGATTACCTTACTTAGGAAACAACTTAAAGCCCTTTTTAAAAACAGGAGGAAAATGCTTGTCAAAGGACCTAACATTTTGCTCTCATTTGTTTCTCACAATTATAATGCCACACAATACGCTGTCAACTCTTGACAGTGTGGGAGTTACTTCACTCACAAACCACCTACCACTAGTCTTTCTCTTATCTGCAGCCAGTCCATCAATTTAACTTGTAAAATTACCAACTGTTGCTACACACAGGCAAAGGAATTAAACTTGGTAGCTGATCATTTAATTACATCTATCAGTCTACTGAAGGGCTTCAAAGCAGAGTAGGTGGAATTCATGGTTCAAATCAGAGTATTAATGGGATCTGTTTGCACACCAATACCTGATCTCCTTGGCACAAATACAGAGCTGATTCTTAAAGCATGTCCCCACAATAAAGCTTTTCTTAATCATTCGTCACCTGCTTCCAATAATTCTGGCACTTACACAAACTTATCAAGGGTTATGTCTTTATTTCTGTAGTGAGTTTCCTGTTGCTGTTTCTAGACTTTTATTTCATTTGTGTTTTATTTTTCTTCACATGAAACAAAATCTGTTAGCACTGGAAAATATGTTCATTTGACTAATGAGTGCAGAACGTAAATGTTTCTTAGTACCAAAACTTATTATCTATCTAATTTCTCTAGTTAATGTAAATTGTTACACAAACTATAATTTAAAAAGTAAAACTATGACAAACCCTAAAGCTTAAATATTTTTAGAAAAAAAGGTATTTTAGCACAGTAAGTGACCATTACTGCCTTTTCTCTGAATCATTTTATAAGATTTTATATTAATATACACCTATGAATGAACAACTTCCCTCATTTTTTAAATAAATAAGGGTGATGGAAAAAACTCATATTTCAATGTTTCCCAAGATCGTTAATATTTAGCAGGTATTTTATGAGAACTGATATCCACCAAAATTGTGTAAGGAGTCCATGATGGCCCATCCTCCCCAGAAGTCAGAGCTCACAGTGCCCAACACCCTCATTATCCAGGGCAGAATCTGAGGACCCATCATGCCAGTGGAGAAGGGTGGAGCCCAGCACTGGCATCACTTTCCTGAGACACCCACACTGATTCTTGTCCCTTCTCCCTCTCTGAACTCTACTTCCAGCCAGTTTGGGTCATAACACAAAACATTTCATTGTATTCTCTACATGAAAACTTTAATTCAGGAAAATAAACATATTAAGAGGTTATTTCCCTCAAATAACTGAAACAATAAACTTCAAAACAGAATAAGAAAAAAAAATGACAAAGAACACTCTCTGTAATCTAGGAAAAATGCAAAAACAGTGCTTTTTACATGATTCTAATGAGACTACAGCATGAAAGTTTTTCAAATTACTTTCAGATTTCTCCAAACTGCCTACTGGAATTAAACTTTTAATAATTTCTCTAATATAATTCTATTTCTGCATCTGTCTACATCTAAGAAGAAGCAAAACATAAATATTACTTGTAGTAACTAAGGAATGTTTAAAATGAAAATTGGGCTATGTAGCTAAACTACCAAAAGCATAAATAAATGTAACAGACAGTATAGTTAGTCTTTCTTACTCTAAACACTTTTTGTCAAATATAACACATTGTTGAATATCATGATGAGGACACTTCTTTATGAACCGATGCTATCATCCCAAACAGCAACTTCTCCAAAATGATAAAGCACCAACTAAATTTCATTAAAAGAACTGATATTCATGGTTTAGAAAGTTCCCAATGATGAGATTTTATAATGGAGTAAAAATGTAAACTTCTGAATGAATACCATTTACATTTGTTAAGGCACATCTGGATACCTCCAGACAGTCGTATTTATAGCTATATTATTATTAATTTCAATAATAAGGGATATCTAAAAACACATTCTGTCCCTGAACACAATCTGCTGGGTGGGTTGGATAACTAGTACTCACTGTCACCCAAGAGATTACCCACACAAATCTGTTCCTGTAATAAACAGTACAAAACTAAAAGAGAAGCCAGCAAATGTACACTCCTAATTTTCTAGATCCTACATTGACCCAGGCCATTTTTCTCTACAACTTCACCTACATTTAATGATTCTAGCGTGTCTAAATACAGTCTACCTTATACTCAACACATATATCCCAAATGAGAGAGGGGAATTTCCTAAGTGGAAAACAAAATAGAAATCTTCAAAAACATTCCTACAACAGAGGATCGCCACTCACCCCAAACAGACATTAAAGACGTGTAGATGTAGTTACAATCAAGCAAGATCAAGAATATCCTTTATATCTTAGATTAGAAAACAAAGCTTTAGAAGAGCCTCAATTATAGTTTTAAAAATGCTTGATTACTCAGTATGGATGAATACTCAGCCATAACTCTATTATAAACTTGAAAATGTAATATTCAAACAATTAACCAAATATTCTCCCCTGACTTGGTTAAACCAATTTTTGACCACTCAATGTTGAGGTTCATTTACTACTCTGATTTTTCAAAGACTAACTCAGATGTAACACTGTACTGTTTTTCCTTTCCACCACATCATACTTTCACTCAGATTAAAGTATAAAAGCTAGAAGCAGGATAGGTAATTTTATATGACAAAATATGAAACAATGACTATGACAGGCATTATGGCATTTTCATATGTTTATATTTTTAATACTTAGCAAAAAAATACTTAGAACTTCTCTAGTAACTCCTGAGTTATAGATTTTATTTTCTCATTGACGCTGGAAAAAAAGTAGTCCCAAAACCTAAATTCAAAATAAAACTATACAACATAATTTTTGAGTTGACAACCAGACTTGATTTAGAGAAAGTAAACATATTTTCAACTCTATCATTAATCTTTTGAATTTCTCATGAGATCGAGCATGAAAATGTATAATGGTACAATTATAAACTCATGTTATAAACTCTTTCTCTACTGTACAGAAATATATCTTATAACCATATGTCACTTTACAGTATTTCAAAATAGTTTCACATAATCTCCTTTGATATATGAAAGCACAAAATATTAGAAATGTTCTAGACTAATCAAGCGATATAACATCTATTTGCCATGAAATGCAAGTTAGTATTTTATCAATAGCCAATATTTAGTATCCTTGTACTCCACAGTACAACAACAATAAAGACTATAGATTTGTAAAGATCCAGTAATATTTTTAGCTATTTGGTCATGCTTCACTGCATTTTTTGTAACAGCTTCTCAATGAATTTCTGCAAGCATGTCGTAGTTTTTAAAAATACAAAACATAGGAGTCAAACCCAGAGAACTGTTTCATATATAAGACACACATAAATACATATCTATAGATCTTATTTAAAAAACTAATATACAAAGCATTAATAGAAAAAATTCTAGACACTCAATGTTTTTCTCCAAAAGGAATGATATCCTTTTACTTGTTCTCCACTGAATGATGATCTAAGTTATTTAGGGATTAAATGTAAGAAACGTACTATTCTATGTGAATATGCATTTAAAAACACCATAGTGGGAAAAGGCCACTATTTAAGATGGATGCCAGGAAGTTTTCCCCTTGAGACTAAATATTCTCAAATTTAATGGTACAATCTAATCAAAATCCCTAAGTAGGAATAGTATTCTAAAAATTAAATTGCTAAATGAAATGTTTTTACTCATAAGGGCTCTAATATACTATAATTTCTAAGTAATTCAGATTATATTCATTGATTTTAGTATCTGGTAACTTTATTAATATCATAATATCTGGTCACAGTATTTTAATATCACTTTATCATATATATAAAATTGGTAAGTTATTTTGAATTAAATTGTGTTTCTACAATTCAGCCTAATTTGACAATCGCTTCTCATCCTCTAAACCCTGCAGAACTATTTACTGAGCTCTATGGAAACATAGCTACAAGCACCACATAAGAGTGTCCATGTTTTTCTTGCATGTAAAATAGAAATTGAAATGCAAAAGCTGACTGCCAAATCCTAATACTCACAGAACACTAGGAAAACAAAAACTGGCATATTATGGGAACTAAAAATGAGAAAGTGTTCCATACTATACTTATTGGAATAGAACGTACAACAAAGGTGCTACTGAGATTCATATAAAAAATTAGAGTTAAGCAACTGGCATGTTTCATGTAAACTTCAAAGCAGTAAAATCATATTTCTAGAGGCATACTGTAAGTGTGATTATTTTCAAGATATCCATTGCAGAAAATGTAGATCAATAGAGGCAACAGAAGATGACATGTGATATGAAGTAGGACATACTACAAATTCCCTGGGGGAATAAAATGAATAGAACTTTTCTTAAAAGCCTAACAAAAAAGTTAATTCATTCCTAAATGAAATAAAGTATAAATATTTCATCTATTCATTGCTTTAACCATATTTGTATGTATGCTTTGAAGTTCTTATCACAGTGTCTTTTGATTTATAATAATAATTAGTAATAATATAGAAAACAAAACTGTTCTTAACCAGTGCTATGTAACATAATAAGTGCTTACTAGAGTTGCATATATGAACTTTTAAATTTGTTCTCAATTTTGAAGTTTGATAACTTAGAGATGCACAAAACTATACTTTTTTAAAAAGACACATTTGGGCTAAACAACATTACTAATTTCATAATCCACAGAACACTGACATATTCATGGTTTAAGGGACTACTGTCCTGTTCACAGTGCAAGAGGCATGCCTTTTAAAAATGAATAATTTCTTATTTTTTAATTCTTCAGTCATTTACATTCAGAATCAACCATCAAATTTATATGGAACAGCCACAGAGAGCAAAGTTCTTATCTTGAACTTTTCAGTCAACATGTGTTTTTAAGCACTTAATACTGAAAACAGTGTTATTAATTTAAACAAAGCAAAATCTTGAAGTCATACAATTAGAAGTCCCACTCTGTTCCATGTAGATTTCAATATAGATCATCCTAATGTACACAGTGGTCCCTTGATACCTGTAGGGGGTTGGTTCCAGGACCCTCTGCAGTTACCAAAATCTAGAAATGCTCATGTCCCTTATGTAAAATACTTTAAATCATCTCTAGATTACTTACAATACCTAATACATACAATATAAATGCTATGTCAATAGTGGTTATACTGTATTGTTTAGAGAATAATGACAAATAAAAGGACTGCACATATTTAGTAGAGATGTAAGCATCCATTTTTTCCAACAAATATTTTCAATCTGCGGTTGGTTGAATCCACAGACGCTGGACCCCTGAATATGGAGGGCCAACTACACTAGAAACACAGATGCTAGCTGAGAAAGATGGTGGCTTAAGGGCATGGAAAGAGGCAAGGAGGTGAGGACAGCAGGACTGACAGATAAGCTGGGGAGGTCACAGTTCCACAAGGACATCCATTTCACTTACCAGAATCTACAGATAAACACGTTGAGGTACTGGAATCAAAGAATCCAAATTAGTTTCTGAATACATTTGAAAAGATCAAACACTTACAGTTAAAAAAAAAAAATCAGCCGGGCGTGGTGGCTCATGCCTGTAATCCCAGCACTTTGGGAGGCTGAGGCGGGCAGATCACAAGGTCAGGAGTTCGAGACCAGCCTGACCAACATGGTGAAACCCCATCTCTACTTAAAAATACAAAAATTAGCCAGGCGTGGTACCACATACCTGTAATCCCAGCTACTTAGGAGGCTGAGGCAAGAGAATCGTTAGAACCCGGGAAGCAGAGGTTGCAGTGAGCCAAGATCATGCCACTGCACTCCAGCCTGGGCAACAGAGCGAGACTCCGTCTCAAAATAAAATAAAATAAAGTAAAATAAATCCATAAATCAGGTAAAGGTATAGCAATCCAATGAAATTATCCTCTTTATTTCCTTCATGTAGACTATAATGTCTCAAAAGAATGTATTTTGCATGCCAAATACTACATGGTAATTTCTAGATACTCTGAAAATATTTTCAAAGTAATTATTATACACAAAATTTGAAAATTCACATCCTAAAAGCATTGCAGAATACATTCATTTATGGGGTCTTATCTTAAATCTCCTTATTAGTTATTCACTTCATTGTCATCCAAAATAAAAAAACAAACAACAAAATGCTTATGACAGAAATCACAAACAGATGGCTAAAATTTGAAATTGACCTCGTCTCTGTTCTTTAGGATAAATGATACAGTAGTTTTTTCCTCTCTAACCTAAACTGGCCTATGGGTTTTCTGATAATTCACTGTGCTAGTACAACATCATGGCAATTTGTATTTCCAGGATTTTCACTGTCTTGGTTATGATTTTCACCGTCTTCATTATTTTCAGGAGATACACTCTCCTTTTTTTCTGTGGGATTAGTACCTGTTTTCTCGGATTGAGAATTCACATTCTCAGCATTACTGTCCTTCTCTGTATTTCTTGGCTTGGCAGCTTCATTGCTGGGCTCTGGGCTGGGCCTGTCTGTCTCTTCCACAGGCTCTTTTGGTGCCACTTTTTTTTCTTCAGCTGTTTTGCTATTTAAATGAACAGCTGAGGAGGAATTTTTGGAGTCCTTGGCTTTTTTGTGCATAGAAGTTTGACTGTTATGACTGGAGGCGAGAGGGGAAGACATTTTCTGGGCTTTGCTTCCCTCCGACTGTTCTTTTCGAGGCGGTCCCCAGATAAAGTTCTCTGAAGGCGTGTAGTGTTTCTGGGCGAACCGCAGGAGCTTTCTCCTTTCTCTTCTGTCTCTAATTGTATAAACAAAATACTCTAGAGCACTCTGCTTAATATTGGGAATAGTATTCTCCACAAGAGCTTCATGAAGAATAAATTTTACAAGAGGAGATTTAAAACTTTCATATCCAAGCTCACCAAGACTTTTAAGAATACGAGTGATTCTTAAATAGTTGTGCTGGGACCTGGAAGAGAGGATTGAACAAAATGAGTGGGGGAAATCAGGTGCAGGAAGGCAGGAGAATGAAAACTATTGGGAAAATATTTTTTATGGAAATGTAAGCCATGGAAATATGCCGTGTAATGACTTTTTAACGCTATATTTGATACCATTAAGAATAATCCAGAGGGTGTTAAATCCTTAGGCCACAATGTAACGTCAATCTATGTGAAAGTCAAATTTATAAAATAAACTTCCCTTGTCTGTTGAGTTCTTCACATTAGAAAAATATTTAGATTTAAATGTATTACCACTGTTGAATTGTTGTTTATTACTGAAAATACACTGAAGATGAATTTTCTAACAGAGCATTTATTTGCACCAACATCAATGTACTGTACTCATCACAGGTAACCGTTGCTAAACATAAACACATTAGCTAACAGCTGACTGGTGCAATTTATAGTGCCAGCTGATCAGCAAAATCCACCACATAAGCCAACTCGTAAGGACGGTGGCAAAAACCACTCTGCTTTGCTAGAACAGTTCTGACAAAGGATACAAAACTGACTTATTTAGCAGAGCACAGTTTAACAGTTAAGAGCATGGGCTTTGGAGTCAGACCTGAGTTCACACCCTGGCTCTGTAACTTACCAGCTAAGTGCAACTATGTTTCTCTATGTCTCAATATCCTTATCTGTAAAATGGGGAAAAGTGCCCACTACTTACTGGACTGTTGTAAGAATCAAATGAGATGATACACATGCTCGGTACATAGAACTCAGTAAGTACTAGATACTATTTAAAACTATTAGTATTATAATTTAAAGATATGAGATTAAGGACCACAATATTTGTACCTATCCCAACTTAACCTAATTTTCTTCAATCTCTGGTCAGTCTCTCCTCCTCTTTCCCTATCTGATGATTTTAAATCTTATTTCTAATGGCCTTGATTCCAAGGGTACATTTTCCCCCAGATTACACTAACATCTTTCCTCTCTATCACAGAACTAATGCCATTACTGGATGAATGTTTGCCAAATCTATTTTGTCACAATTCATAATGTAACTCCCCAAACTCACTCAGCTCAATCTTTGCTTTATTACACATGCCTTGTCAAATTCTAAAAGAATCATCAGCCACATGTATTAATCATAGGTGTTGTCAACAGCCCAGGTATTTATTTACCCAATATTGCCACATAACCGTAACCATCACTTATTTCTAACTTCCTAAAGCCTGTTTTATACCTCATACACGGAACTTTCTGCAAACATTATATATACCTGTCCTAGCTTCCAAAAATGCTTAAAGATTTTATTTTGAAATAATTAGCAAATTACTTGGGAAGCAGGGATAAAGATGTTGATGAATTAAGGGATGGCAGGGTATGGTTCCATGGCCTTATGTTTCAATGAGAACATTTCTTTGCACGAAACAAAAACCTTAATGTTTCAGACTAACCAAACACTGGAAAAGCTCAGCCCAACAGTTGATCATCTTCATCTTTCTGGATGTCTACTAAAAAATTATTGTCTTAACATTCAACTCTGAAGCCCAGAGGGTAAAATGCAGCACAGATGTCTCAGTTTTATACATCTGTATTTTTAAATAGGAAGTAACACACTTGAGACAATACAAATTTGGGTACAGTTAAGACAATGTGTCACTAACAGCAGGAGCAACTTAGTTGTTACATTCCTGTGGAGTTTGCATACTGTAAATACTTAGTGACAAAACCTTGGGCAATTCTGCTTCATATGTCTGTGAGAAAAAGATGTATAGAAAGGTGGAAGAATTTGTTTTTTAAAAAAGAGGAACTCTATGACTAAAGAAAATTTACTATATTTGCAACCAGCTCAATTTTATATAGCCAATCCTAGATGAATGCTGAAGTTAAAATTTCTGTACACATTTACTATATCTATATATTCTCCAATTAAAAATATTTATATAAAAGTATAAAAGGACAAAAACTTGGGTTAAAAAATGATGAGGATCCTAGAACAAAACTACAAAATATAGCAATTGGGTGTTTCAGTATGATTTGTAATAAATGTCATAGTGAAAGACTAAATGGTATAGAAGAGACTGGCTAAAATCCTTATAGTGTATAAACCATCTTAAGATTACACAATAGGCAAAAGAAAGAAGCTGAGGTTCCAGACAGAGGTTAAGGGTAGCAAATAGTGTTGAAATTGCAGAAAAGACTAGGGAGGTAAAGAGAGAAGACATACAAGGTGAGAACTAGGAAACAGAAAATAAAAGTTAAAAGGCACCCCAGAGTCTAAATATGACTCAGTAATCCAAGTTGATTACAAACAAAATTGAAAACACAGTCTAGTGGTTGGTCCATATATTTGTACTCTCATGTTTGAAAATATTTTGCCTCTTTTAAGGTCAGTTGTTCACTCAATGTTATTTCATTTCACCTTGATTCAATATTTTCCTCTGCTTAGCTACTATAAATATATTGAGTTCCCTGCCTACTCTACTCAAGATGCTATACACATTAAAATACAAATAAGTTATGACATTTAACAATAAGTCAGAAAAGGACCCAATTGAAGAAGAAAATAGAATAGACGTTTTCATAGAATCCTCTATCATTTGTTCAAATCTAGTCAGTAAAGATGTTTTGCAACTAAACTAGAGAAGAAACAGCATGTTTTCTGGCAGATTCTCAGTTAATTCACAGCTTGAAAAGCTCTATGCTGACAATAGGTGGCAGAAAGAAAGGGTGGGGCACAGGAGTGAGAAGTGACTTAGCTCAGGTTCCCTTCCCCTGCCTCAACCCTGGAAATTGTTTAATTAAAGCCTTAAAAAGAGACTCTGTTTCCACCTATAAATCAGAGGATATGACAACAAAACTCCAAGGAGGATTTAAGCTGAAGACCATATTTTATTCATCATTTATTCATTCAATAAAAATTGACTAAGCAAGATTGCTATTCCAACCAAAAATAACAAGTTTGAGGTGAGTCTCTAAAATGGTAGTCGTTATGTACATGAAAAATGAGGTATTATCAAATCCTTTCAAAAGATTTACTTTTACTTTTGCTGTCTTTCATGTCAATAGGCTGCTTGCATGTAGTTCTTTCACAGTGTAACATGTTTAGAAACTTTGTCCAGAGCTAGCCACCTGCATTGCTTAGGTATATATACTTATGCTTTAAGTGCTCTATATAAGTCAAATTTAACTTCAGTTATAAGTTAATGGGTCTTCTAGTCAGGAACATAAAGCTTTATGTCCATATCTTTAGTGTTTTAGTACAAACTACCATTTTATATCATTGATTATAAGTAATAAAGTAAAAAGAAGGCTTAACATTAATATTTATACCCATCTTACCAAAGCAAGATGAAAGTTCTATAAAAACACACAAAAAATAGTTAACTGGTGCACAAAACTCAGACTGCTGTGGCCAAAGGAAAATTGCTTAGGTTAGTTTTAATTTTTTTGCTCTTAGTACTTGCTCAGTTTAGCTAATTATAATATGCTTAGAAGTACTTTAAAGCTGGTGGCTGTATAGGCCAGCATTCATAAATAATTCAACTATGATTAGTTTAAATGTAACTATAATTTATTAAAATTTAACTATAATTTAAAAAGAAAAAAGACAGTTTGCATATGAAGAAATATATTAAGAAAAATACACTTTGGTTATGAGTATTAACAAAAGTTATAAACATCCAACCAAATGAATACAGCAAAACAATTCCAAATAAACTATGTTAAAATGTTCTTCATAAGTTTTGGGACTTACTACCCAAAAATGAGTTTTTGTTTTTTACCTTAATAGTGAAGACAAGTGTAATTTTCTCTCTGTTTTAGTAAAAAGTATGGACCCATCTCATTCTTATAAAATGATTTTTATCCATCATAGGCTTAATTCATGCATTTAAGAAGGCATCATGCTTAGAAACAGATTATGCCCCAAGAAGCTTACAGCCTACAAGAAGGGATACACAGAATTGTACACGAGCAGTAACAATAAACTCCGAGAAATGTGGCATACGGAGGAGGGGAAAGGCAGCATTTGGCTGTGGGTAATAGGAAGGTTTCAGGGAGAATCAGATCTGAAGCTGAATAACTGTGTTTCTACCCAGAATTTTGTTCCTTTTTGTTGTTGTTTTGTTCTGTTTTAGAATGTGATACAGGAATGTAATGCATTTCAGACTAGCTTTTGAATCCAAATTCCTGGGCCCATCTCATCTGCTGTTGTTTCTGTGTTTCACAGAGAACTCTGACCAAGGGAAAATAACTATGCTGGCCCCTGATTTATCACAGGGGCTTTACTTACTCATTCAGGTGCTGAAATCTTTCCTGCCAGTTAACAGCCCGAGCAACATTTCCAGTTTTATCAGTCAGTTTTATTCCAAAAAATTCTAGCATCATTTTATAAGCCAGGAGGAATCTTCTAATCGCTTCTTTTGTTTTTTTGAATTCCTAATATAAAAAGTGAAAAAAGTCAACTGAAATGATTCAGGAGCTACAAGGACAGTCAAATAGCAATATTATTTGGCCACCCTGTATAAAATGAAATGAGTTTGCATTACCTCAATTTCATACGTAGTTAGTTCTTTAGCATAGAAGTTCAAGCCTTGTTCTCTCAGGGGGAAAAGCCTATTTTTTAAAAAAATAAAATTTTTCTATGAACATTGTCTGGGAAACATACATGATTAAATAGGACATGGTTTAAGATAGATAGTATGTAACTGACCATTGAATGTAAGTGTGGTTGTGCTCCAGTTTTTCATAATCTCCTTTCCATTTATTTAGAACTTCTTCAATGTAAACACCTAAATAGTGAATATTTAAAAATGAATCAGACATTTAAAACATTGTGAAGGCATTTTAAGACTCGAATCACTTGAGTTTTATATTAAAACTTGTTTAAATTTAATAATGGCACACAAGAATAATGCTTTTAAAAAGATGAATACCCTATGCCCATATATTCAGTTATGTGATAAATCTAATTTAAAAAAAATAATAGCACCTCAAATTGCAGAAGGTATTGTTGGGCAATGTACTCTAAAGCAGAGCTGGGCAAACTGTGGCCTGCCAGCTGTTTTGTAAGTAAACTTTTGTTGGAATATAGCCATGCACATTCATTTATGTACTGTCTATGGCGGTTTTTGTACTACAATAGCAGAGCTGTGTAGTTGCAATACAGACCCACTGTCCCCCAAAGCCTAAAATATTAACTCTTTACCCCTGTACAGAAAAAGTTTGCCAATCCCTGCCCTAGGAGTTATATAGTTCTTTAAATACTAGATTGGTTCAAAATGAAATGCATCCTAGGGAAAAAGAAAGAAAGGGGAGTAGAAAGGGAAGAAAAGAAATGAGAAGGAGAAAACAAAGGGGAAGGAAAGGGAGAAAAGAAAAATGTAGGAAAAAGTTGTAAGTGCTTACCCAATGCTGTGCCCATATTACATAGAGTGCACATTATCTAGCTTAGTCTTTACAGAACGCTCCCAATGTTATGATCCTCGTTTTAATAATGAAGAAACTGGACGAGTTGTTCAAAGTTACACACTAGTAAAAAAAGTAAATCTTGGAGTGCAACATAGATCTTTCTGGTTCCAACAAGTAAGCTCTTTTTACCCCAACCATTTTTCCCCTACAAGAACTCACAAAAACAAAATCCTCCTGGTTCCTATGTCTGTCAAGGTCCTTACAATTGACTAGCCATTCAGTCAGTCTTGTAGGAAAAAAACCCACAGCAATATAATATTTCTCCAAACATAACTCATCTCATTCTTGTTTCCTCCAGAGATCACCAGTTTACAGTAGAGGCCCACTCTCGGAAGGCTTGGTAAAAAGTTGTTTTGAATCATATTGTTGGCTTTATTGGCATGTTGAAACCATTTACCTCTGTAATTTTCCATTTGTTTTCCTTTCCAATTACCACTCCTCCTGCCTGATAAGTGAAACATACTATTGCAAGATTATGCTTACTGGCAAGTAGTGTGTGTGTGTGCATATGTGCATGGGTGTGTATACTAGGGAGGAAAGTGAGTTAATATAATTTATATAATCAACTAGGATAACATTTTATGTGACTTTAGCTAAAACTTCTGACCCCCACCAATCATAAGATTTCAAAATAAACTTTGTAATAAAGAGGAACAAAAATTCAATATATTGCTTGAAATTACTTTTTAAATTAATATTTACAAAATAAATTCCTTAGTAGAAAAAAATAGAGTTAAGTAGTATCATAGCTTTATGTTCAATATTTTTAATACGTGAAGGCATTCCTGTAGGAAAATTGTATGAAATTCAAATCAGACTCAAATTAACAATCTATCATTGCATTTCTTCAAAAGATTTTTCTACCCCAAGTCCTAACAAAATGAATAATTTAGCCAATATTTTTCCATTAGTAAATAAAGCAGCACATTTCTATCATTAGTAAATATAACTGTGCAATTTTATCCAGAGGTTTCCCTCTACATCACAGCAGACTTTTGGGATACCAGAAAGCTAAAGACAAGTAGATCTGGCCACGTCAACAATGTTCTCAAATATTAACTCACACTGGTAAGTCTGTCGGTATACAATACTGGGACTCCCTCCTCCCAAACTCCATCCAGGCTTTAGACCTCTTGCCTCGAGTTAGTTCACCAAAGAATGCAAGGTCCTGCCACTTGAAAGCCTTGCAATCTATCACCTTCATTCCATGACTCAGAGTGCTGTGGAACTGGCTCAGTTTCCACTGAGAGCAAATAGCAGAAGCCAGGGCAGTCTGACCACCTCACACAGAAAAGGGCTCTTGGGAGAGAAGCCAGCTTTGCTAGGGTGACCTAGATAAAATTAGGATGACCACCATGAACCACAGCATGATGCCTCAATGAAATATGCAATGTTGTGGTCATATTACCATAGCAGCTGCATCTTCTCACTATGGGTTTGGAAAATATCCTAGGAGAGCAATTGCAGAGTTGGGAAGGACACAAGTGTATTTGGCAGAGTTGGATGGAGATCTACTGTATCTGCAGTTCCCTTCCCAGAATATTGGAACTCCAAACAGGAATTGCTGTAGATTCCTGATACCTGAATCTGAAAACTGACAGGAAAGATAATTCTAAATACAAACAGTACTTTTCAATCACATGCTAAATAATTTTCAGCTATGGTACAATGGAAAGAACAGTGGACTCTAGAACCTGCAATTGAGTGACCTAAGCTTAAGTCCTAGTGACCTAATCTTTGACACCAGAAAGCTGTATTTGATCTTCTCTACTGTTCCTTAATAACCTAAAATTCTGTGGTTCTATACATCTCCTCTCTCTTCCTCTCACAAAAATTGTCCCTACTATCTTTCAGATAATAGCGATGTAAATAAGGAAGATACCATTAATCCATAGCTCTTCCTCCAGAATTTACCAAGTGCATGCTCACAAACCTATGGTCTAGGATGTGGGGGACACATTAGACTGCATAGCAAAGTAAATCCAATCAATGAAACAAACCACAAAATAAACAAAGAATAACCTAGAGTATGTGATTGTTTAAAGTGCAATTTATCAAGTAGTACGTTACTCACCATCTGGCTTGAATGGAATTTTATTCTTATAAAAACGAAGATTGCTCAAGTCATTTTGATATCGGATATCTTTGAAGTTCTGCTAAAGGAAAAAATAAATCAATCTCCAGCACATAGAAATACAGTAAAGGTACAAGGGCCCTTCATGCATGTTTTCTCAGTGGCACCATAAAAATTTAAAAACAGAAGGAAAATAGTTTACATTTGAGAACATAACATTCTATACTCTTACTGGGTACTGGTGTCGGTACTTGTACAAATCCCTCGCAGCATAAAAACTTCTCTTTGGTTTGGCAGTTGCTTCAGTGGAATCACCACCCTGAAATAAAAAGTGAAACTCTGTTTACATGTTGACGCAAGATAATTTCACAAAGAAATTTCCAGAACAAACTTATAAGGAAGAGCCATAAAGAAACCCTGAAAATTGTCAATCTGTTCAGATTAATGAAATATTATAAATGTTCCTTTAATAACGCTTACTAGCAATATTTCTTAGCGTCCTGTTTTTCTTATTTGAACCAATAATATTTGTCCTAAGATATATTACTGAAAAAAACACTTTATTATTAACCAAAAACCGAAAGAGGCCAATGTTATGGATCAATATCCATCAGAAATAGAACTCAAAAAGGAATTCAATACATTTATTTACTAGATGATTATGCAAGTGATTCTATGATAAAACTTACTTCAGAATATTTTACATAATACTAAGAATATGTTAAGATACTAAATCAATTCTGCAAAGAAAATTTTCATTAAATTTGCAACATTTAGCTGTATTTAGAAGTCAAGTAATATTTATGAAAATAAAAGATTTTAAAACAAACTATCTTTCTAAACTCCATCCTTTATAACACCATGACAGGTACACAAAGGCATGAATAATCGTCTATTCACTGAATAATACAATGTGATATAAACATTTAAAATATATGCACACAAAGCAATAAAATGCTCTTAAATGGAATGATGTCCGATTGAAATAACTTATATGTAGAAGTTTACTCATACTATTTAAACTCTAAGCAAAATTCCTATCACCATGAACTGATTTTTAAAGTATAAGATGTGGGTTAATATAATCGATTTGCATTCCCTATATGTACTATTATAATGTAGGAGAAAGTGCTGATGACAATGATGAAAAAGAAAAACTTTAGACCTTTAAGAGTCATTAAAAGCTTTGCCCCAAATTCTTTTCTCCTCAACCCCTGTCCTCCATCTGTGTTGACAGATTGGCATCCTCTAAGTAATTTTCACACATTTTTGAAGAAGCGTGATTCTCACTATTACTACAAGTACCGAGTTACTTCAACACCAAATCTTCTGATGCTTAACATTAGTTACTCTGTCATGTTACATAATCAAGGAAAAGCTTCAATTCTGGTCCTTGCCACAAGTTTCAAAATAGCTCTGCCTAGCAAGTTTCTGAATCTATTTAGCCTGAGCTACAACCATATGAATCATCATCCTACATTTGTATAGAAAGCACTCTCCATTTACAAAGCACTTACATATATAGTGGAATAGACAACAAACAGGGTTGACAGTCAAAAGGCATTATTTCATTTGATTCTTAAAACACACCTGACTGACAGTTAATTAGTATTTCCATCTTAGAAACAAGATACCAGGAGCTTAGACAAGTTGCACACCATCCAGAGTCCAGTGACAGTGCAAGAACAAGAATCCCAGGCTCTGGGTTCAAGTCCAGGTCTGAATCAATCTCAGTCACACTAAAAAATGAAGGATATATGGAAACCTTGGTGTAGTATCAGTAGCCCAAGACTTGGAGTCAGAAGACTAGGAATCTTAACGCTGCTACTTGGTATTTGTGAGGCCTTAAGCAAATCATTTAGCTGAATCTTAGTTTTATCATCTCTGAAATAAAGATAATGACTCACGCCCTACCTATTTCTCAGGATTATCATAAGAATGACTGTGTCCTGCCAGCATCTGCTCCTGCTCTTCCGACCCCTATTCCCTTTGGACTCTACCCAGACCCCTTTCACCTGCTCAGACAAGGATTCTGTTGTTCAATATTGTTCCTCTTTCCTGGATCATCAAAATTTCCCTCTCTTCTGGATCTCAAACAAACATGCTGCAGTATCTTTAATATTAAAATAATAAATATACAAAACATCCTTGACCCAAGCCTACCATCAATTACAGATCCATATATCTACTCCTTTTTTATAGTAGATCACCACCAAAGAATTGCCCATACTTTCTGTCTCCTTCTCTTCTTTCCCCATTTTCCCCTGACCCACCTCAATCAGGCTTTTGTCCTCACCACTCCAAAAAAATAGTTCTTGTGAACTTCACCAATAAATCTCCATCTTGCCAAACCATTCTTAATGTTCACCTCAGGTGACTTCCCAACAGCACTGGGCCAATTAAAGCATCCCTCCTTCCTGAAACTGTCAGTATTTGGCTTACAGGATACTACACTTTCTTAGTTTACTTTCTATCTCATTGGGCACCCCTTGTCAGCCTTCTTTTTTGGCTCCTCCTCCTCTTCACACCCTCTAAATGGAGGGGTGCCTAGGGTCCTCATTCGTCATCACTCTTTGATAACCTCTTATCTTCCTATGCCTTTAAAATCATTGATCTCAGATGCTGAGGACTCTAGTCCTGGACTAAGTCTCCATTCATAGATGTAATTTAACTACCCAATAAATAATTAACTACCCAACAACTCTACTTGGATGTCTAATAGGATATGAAACT